ATTATCCACCGCTGCACATCAAAGCACCCCAAACTTACTGGCTTAACACACTAATATTATTTCTCATGGTTTTGTGGGCTGTCTGGACTCAGGTGGGAAGTCCTCTCGGGTTGGAGTGAGACAGGCTGGGACGGACTCATCGTAACAGCTGAGAGCGCAGCCAGCAGCACTGTCCGAGGGCCTGCACAGGCCCCTCCTGTGGCTTGGGCGGCTCGTGTCACGGGCTGGGTTCCTACAGGGAACCTCCCAAGAGCAAATGCTCCCAGATACTCAGATGGGAACTTCAAGAGTTCTTATGAACTAGCCTAGGAAGTATCAGAATGTTACTTCTGCCATATTCTACTGGCCAAATCATCACTAAAGCCAACCCAGATCCAGGGGAAGGGGACTCCACCCTTTCATGGAGGAGAGGCACAACCACACTGCAGCAGAGCGTGTGAGATGGGAGCCATCAGTGTGGCTAGCTGGGTAAAGACAATCTGCAGTAATGCAACAGGGCATCCGAAAGTAAAGGGGAGCATGGCTTAGGCCGGGAATACCATCAGACTGGACATTCCTTACCAGCTGTATGTTTTATGGAGCCTTCAAGTCCCATCTGTTCTCTGCATTCTTTTAATCAATACACTAGAAGCTTCAGATAGAAATTTACTACAGCAGCAGCATGAAACCACACTTTATTCCTAAGTTAAGAGTAAGAAAGTGGCAGAATAGGGAAAAAATTCTTGCTGAAATATAGTCTTACCTTTAAGACAATAAATCCAGATAAAATGTGTAAAATCCAAAAATCTAAATCAAAATGTCTTCCTATTCTTGTTTATCTCTTTTTTTTCTTCTCTACTTATTATTTTATTTTATTTTATTGGCCACACCACATGTGGGATCTTAGTTCCATGACCAGGGATCGAACCCCCTGTACCCCCGGCATTGGGAGCACAGAGTCTTAACCACTAGACTGCCAGGGAAGTCCCTTGTTTAACTCTTTTTGATAAATCATGTTTTCGGTTGCTAACTCAGCAAAAGATAATAATTAATTGCAAGGACTATCTACTTTTATCAATAGTCCACAAACTGATGGTTTCATAGGACATTTAACAAAAATCAATTCCAAATTGTGTGATGTCTTTGGAAGAACAATGTTTCTAAAAAGTTTCCTCTAAAACCTATATTTTATTACACTATCCATTTAAGATGTGTAGCTCTTTTCGTGAAAGTCTTGAGGTAGACTAAAAATAGGCATGATGTAAAAATTCTTAAAATGACTTTGAAAATGCACGGGAGAGTGTGTAAGCAGAGCCGGGAATTTGCTATTGGCAGCAAAGCCTTTCAAAGGAGAACTGTCCATTATTCAAGCTGGTAAATTGTTAAATTGTTTAAGTTCACTAATCAAAGGAAATGACAAAATCCATGAGAGAAACAAACATTTTTCCGGAACTAAACTACAGATACTATCTATACAGCATCTCCTTGAGTATAAAATGTGCATAAAGGAACAGAGGTATTATCTGGACAATACAGCCTGGGCCAAATAAAAAGTATACACATAGAACTCAGAATTAACTAATTCTACCATTTGAAGACTCTTTATTGATTGCCTGTTATACGCTGTGCCTGGTACTCAGAAAACTTAAAAATTATTTCAAGAAAAGCAAAAATATGTGTATTTAATAGGGAGTCGCTGTTAATAATGTATCCCACTGAGAGGCCGGGAGAGACAGCCCCCAAGGAAGCCCTCCTCAGAAGGATGGGCGTGGATGAAGGAACCCAGCCTGACGCATGGCCAGTGGTCTCCCGTGGTACAATCTCAGTAGCTATTTTCTTGTTGCCTGAGAGCCTCAGATGGAAATATTAGAACAAACATTTTAAAAGTTTCAATAGATACAAGTAATGTCACTTGTATGTTAATGAATGAACAGTAATATGCCACGCCCGCATGAAGAAAAAATTGGTCTAGAGTGTGTCTATTCGTCTATATTTCAATCTATAATCAATCTCTAAACAAAGTTATATAGCCTCACTCAAAATGGGTTATTATTATTCTTAATAAAAAATTAATCTTGAGCTATTGGGGTATTTGCTTCCTATTTTTGTAAAAACATCAAATATTCATTTTAAAAAATGTTCTTTCATTCCCAGATAAAGTCTGTGATGATACCATCATTAAGAGACTATACACGACCTCTGGCCTCATGGCATTTACATTCCAGCCCCAAACAGGAAATGATCTACCGTGCGAGACCTCCTATGGGTGAGGAAATAGATGTACTGTGAAAACATGAGAAATGTCAGTTCCCTGATTCAAACAGGGTAGAGCCAGGAGAGAGGAGGGGAGCCTTCCTGGAAGAAGTAATTTGACCAGCAGGATGACGAGGACAGGTCCAGCTGAAAAGGACCAGGAACAGTGTTGCAGACAAAGGGAAGAGCAGGCGCAAAAGCTCAGAGGACAGAGAGAGCAAGTTTAAAAAAAAAAAAAAACGTTCTGGAAGAAGTCCTGTTTGGCTGGGCTGGGGGGAGCGTAAGAGGAGAGATAGACGGGGATGTGAGTAGTTTCAATTATTTTAATTGCTTTTTACATTTCCAATGAGCAATTGGGAATCACTGAAGGGTTTAAGCAAGTAACTGATGGGAGGAGATTTATGTGCATTTCAGAAAAGTCACTAGTTATAGAATGGAGAGGAGATGGAGGGGTCACATGCAGAGAGATGGGGAAACCGATCCGTCACTGTATATAATGGTAGACTGTCCCACGGAAGGGTAGGGAAACGAAGAAAAGTGGTAGGATTCTGAAAATTCAGTACTTACGACGTAGAGTCTAAGGATTTAGTGACTGTGTAAAGTCAGGTGGTGAAGGACAAAAATAATCTTTTAACTATCCTTAGAATAAAGCCCAGTTTATCTAACTCTTTAAAGTCTACCGTGAAGAATGTTTTATTATTTTATGTAATGAAGAACGTCAATTTTTAAATGCAAGCTAGGATCTTAAAACAATTTAAGAAAATCAGTTGCTTTATTTCATAGTCAGTTTTACAGAAAAACGGTCCATTTAATTTGTTTGTAATTAGCCTACTCATAACACAAATAGCTACTTTTAAGAAAAGCAGTATGTTGATGTAGCCAATTTGCCATTAAGATATTAATTTCAAAACCAGGAAAAAAAACAATTCAATCAAAAATAGACAATACTGATGAAAACTTTACAGTATTCTAACTTTCCAGTTTCCTCACTGTTCACACTGGCACTAAAAGAAAAAAATAAAATAAAATCGTGTGTAATTTAAAGGTATATTAACTAAAACTGCCTATTGACTTTGAGGAAAACAGACTCAGGACTATTTAAAATAATGCTGCCCAGGGAAAATAAAAGGCATTAACAGCCATTAAGCAAGTCACAAATATTAGTCTTCAGGTCATGTTAAATTTTCTAGTGGCCATGTTTAAAAAAGGAAAAAGAGCCGCGTGAAATAAACGTCAATGATACATTTTCATATAACCCAGCATTTCCAAACTTTCACCATTTCACCATGTAATCAACATAAGCTAGGTACGAGCTATTTGCATTCTTTTCGAAGCCTGGTGTGTTTTACCCAGAGCACGTTTCACAGGCTGAGCGTTCACGTGGAGACCATCCTGCCGGGCAGGGCAGCTCTAGAACAGGAGAAACCTCCGGAGCTGCCCATCCTCTGCTGTCCCACTACACACCTAGCAGTCGGTCACAGTGAGTAAAGGGTAAAAAAAAAAAAAAAAAGTAAACCGTTTGTTGACACAGATGTGGCCACCGACAATGTTAAAATTAAGGGAGAGGAACTGCAACTGAAACTTAGCTGAGGTGACAGCAGTCAACAGAAGTATTAAAAATGGAAATGTATTCAAAACCCCCAAATCCCAAACTACTTGTACATCTCAAACTTTAATCCATGTGAAGTAATCCATTTAGATACAACCTGTTAAAGGTTAATTTAAGTATCTCCTGGCAGCTACTTCGTTTGGAAGTGGCAGCTTTTTCGGACACCAGTAGTTTCGTAAATCCATGGCAGGGACCACAAACCAGCTTCCATCTTGATTTAAGGCTGTTTTTAGTTTATAAGGAAAATGTCACTATGTAAACCACCAACATTTTGATTAAACACTACAGTTCTTATTTTGGCTGTTAAATCAGTAATGCAGCGGATTGCAAGCAGTTTACATTCCCCCCAAACTGGGCTCCGGTTCAGCTAGTATTGCATTGACATCATTTTCCAGCAAGACCTGGCTGCTTTCAGCGGCCAGTTTAGAAACATCCTTTACAAACAACCACATAACATTCAATGTTAACACATTTCAAGAAGAGGGTCTCACAAATGCCTGTGCTTAAAATAGGGCAGTCAATCCCAAAATAGTCTCCCACCTAATGTGTCATTTGCTAGTATAATAAAAAAATAATAATAATAAGGTAATTTTAACAAGAAGACAAAGGCCTTTGACGTCATTATTTACCTTTGACTTCACCTGAGACTGACTTTGGACGATTTCCTATTTTCCTCTCCAGAGTAGATTGACTAATATGTAACCGGCAGCAATGATTCTCAAACTTGTTTTGGTGGCAGGCACTTTCTCCAAAACAGCGAGCTTCAGGTAGAACATCACAGATACTGATACACTCTTTAATTACGCTATGCAAACTCGGAGTGACTTGCAAGTAGAAAGTAAGCCCACGTTATATACATAAAACCACAGCTACTAGCACAAAGAACTATTTTTAAAAAGGCAGCTGCAAAGATCACAACATGTTGAGTCTTTCAGAGACCACTGCTTTACAACTTAAGTATTCAGCATCAGTACCAAAAATTAAAGGAAAAATGCTAAAATGTATTCAAGACCATCCAATAATTATTATTTTACGTGAATTAGGAAAAATGTCACTATGATTCCATTTCAGTAGTTAGACACTCATCCAGCTGGCTGAATAAAAGGATTCTAGAGACTACATTGGAAAATCAAAACCTCCAGGACCTCAAACTGCTCACCTGCAGAAATTCTCTGACATTAGATCCCAGCACACGCAGGATTGTGTCATAACCAGATTCTTGACAAAAGACGAAAAACATCTTCCCAAACATTTGGAGGATTTCTCCAGCATTGAGATCTAGTTTATAGATTTGAGAGGCAACAGAAAGAAAATATATTAGAGACGGAAAATTGTTAGTGGGAGGAATGAAGACAAGTGCATAATAAAAACTGTTAAATATCCTCAATTTCTGTGCAGAGTGAACAGATCACAGGAGAAACATCTGGCCAGGAAAATACAATGAAATCTGAGAAGACAGCGTATTGACGTGTTAACAGGGTAAGTCTGTACTTACAGCAGAGCAGTTTCTCAGCTTGCATGACAAAATTTTGAGCTTTTTTAAACTTATACTTAAGGTATAACCTACTTTTTCCAAACAAATACAGAAGGATCTTGAAAATCATCAAGAATGCACATGATAATACTGTGGTGCAAAATTATTTTTCTTTATATAAATATCCATATTTAATAACTCGGTTGCATATAGTATGTACCCTAAGACCCTGTGTTTTTCTTAATATTCAATTATTAATATTTCCTAAAATTTAAAATTTTTTCTTAATATCAATTTTAATCACTATTTTATCCAACACAGATATGCAACAATTTATTTCACCAATGCCTGCTTGTTCAAAATGTAGGCTTTTCCAATTTTTGATAATGTAAGTAACTCTGAAATGAAAACACCCATAAATCTTAATGTTAAGAAATCTAATCATTTCTTTAAGAAAAATTTCTAAAGGATTTGAACATTTTTTAAAAGATTTTGACTGATGATGCAAAATTATTCTCGGAAAAAACTCTTATCTTACCAACAGATTTTAAATGTGCACCATTTCCTCCTTAACTCTACCCTTGACTACACTAGATATTTTTTTTAATTGCCAAATTTGTATAAAAATTATTTCACATTTGTGTCAATTCTGATTACCAATAAGGCAAGATATTGTTCTTATTATTAACAATTTACCATACTTCTGTTTTTGGTAATTCTTGTATCCTGCAAAAGGTAGCACTTGCTCTTCTAGCTGTATTTGACAAAGCCAAAAACCATGCATCTAGTCTATCCGACCTGTAGCCTAGCTGTAAGTTAAGTGCCACGAGGATGCGAGATACTACTCTGAGAACAACATTTTTCCCATGAAGTTTTTTTTTTTGGACTTTGCCTTCCTTGCATGAGTTTTGCCTGATGCAGACCTCAGTTTCTTGTTTCTTTTACCAATACCCAACAAAACCTGTGATTACAACAGAGATTTGGAGATAATATTTTCTTTATTCTACATTTTTGAAATTACTGTGCTGTTGACATGGCAACATTAAATTATTATGTTATTAACTTATTACATTAAGTATCAATACTTTTTTTCCCTCCTCAACACATGGCTTTTTGTGGGGAGGGGCAGAGAGCTCCTCTCTTCTCTAAAGAGTCTGTAAAAAGAGCAATGGGACTCAGTGTGGCCCGAGGCTAACATTACACGTGACTGTGCCCCAGTGGGGCTGGGCAGCACGCGTCCTGCGCAGCTCAACCGCGACCTTGGGCCACGCATGCCTTTGGACGTCTACGGTGGCGAGTCACATTTAACTTACTGAGGACTTTGCTTGCGGCAGCAACCAGATCATATGTTTTAGAATCTTCGTATATTATTCGGACAAGAAACTGCCCTTCTTCATCTAACTGTGCCTCTCTTCTAGAAAACAAAAAGAAGACAGACAAATAAAAGAACAGCTACAATGATCATATAAGAAATGGCTGCATATCTGGAACAGAATTTACTTTTGGCAATCTGGTTAAATCAGTGACAGGTACCTAAAAGTCTAGTGATTGCAAAGATCTTACTTCACATCCCCCCTCCCCAAATTAAAAATGATATATTTAAGTATGTTTTAACAAGATTAACATTTGTATAGTACTCTAATGCCCAATACCATGCCTGATATTAAATATGATCACGAAATAACTTTTGGTGAAATTAATAGGCAGCAAATATGTGTTGAGTCCCTCTATGTGCCAGGCACAGTTAGAGGCACTAGGGATACAGCCTTTAGTAGGAGAGAGTACCAACCTCTTGGAACAAATGTATTCTAGGAGGGGAGACAGAAGGGCATAAAATTAAGATAGAACTAAGATATACATACATATACATACACACACACACACACATATAATAATGGCAAGTAGTTTGGAGAAAAGTAAAACTGGGCAAGGGGGTAAGGGACTCAAGTACGACAGCCGGAAGCATCACTGAGAAGCTGGCAATGGAGTCAAGTGCAAAGCATGCCTGCAGGGAGCCCTGAGCAGCCTGGGAGCCCCGGACGGGGGAAGAGTAGGTGAGAGCGCTGGCAGGGGCAGCCCAGGGCCTTGGAGGAGGAGCAGAAGCTTCAGTGAGGGGACGGATCCTAGGGCTGCACTGAGCATGGATGGAAGGCATATAGGACGGAGCAAGGTCACAGCAAGGTCAGAGCAAGGTCAGAGCAAGGACAAAGACAGAAAGGTCATAGCAAGGTCACAGCAAGGACAGAGCAACATCAGAGCAAGGACAAAGAGAGGACACAGGAAAGGCATAGCAAGGACAGAGCAAGGTCAGAGCAAGGTCAGAGCAATGCCACAGCAAGGACAGAGCAATGTCACAGCAAGGACAAAGCAAGGTCACAGCAAGGACAAAGAGAGGACACAGCAAGGACAGAGCAATGTCACAGCAAGGTCAGAGCAAAGACAGAAAGGTCATAGCAAGGACAGAGCAAGGCCACAGCAAGGAGACCAGGTTAGAGGCCACCGGGACATTCAGGCGAGAAAGGCCCGTGACCTGAGTTGGGGTGAAAGCAGTGGAGGGAGGGAAGTGGCCCAGATCCTGGTGTACAAGAAGGTTCCACGTGGCTCACCGATGAAATGGACGCAGGACGTGAGAGAAGGGAAGGACACAAGGATGACACTGAGGTTTTGGCCGGAGCAGCCGGAAGGATGTTGCCACCAGAGGCTGAACTGGGACAGACGGCTGGCCGTGGACCAAGGGGTAAGGCCCGGAGCTCTGTATTAAACACGTGAAGTTTGAGGTGCCCGGTGGACAGGTAGCATCGTCCACCAAATCCTCAGCGTGTTAAGTGCAGTAACTCAAAATACACGCAGGATTAGTGACAGGAAATCACAGTTGTCAGTTAAATAGTGGTCATGGTTATATATTCATTTTGATGGGATTTAGCTTGTTTTTCTCAAACTAGTGCCTAAACGGGAGGAGAAATCCATCGTTCAAAACACTGCCTGCCCTGGAAGAGCGCAGCCGAGGTCCCAGACACCCCGTCCACATGAGATGCACAAAAACGGGCGGCTCGGGGAGAACGTAACTGGGTGACGTTTCACCACATCGCGGGGTGGGGGGGTGCTCCTCCGCACCGCCTGGCAGCCTCCTGCCTTCTGCCCCTCGGAAGTGGGGCTGCCACAGTAGCCGCCCGTGGCTGTGACACCAGTGTCTGCTCCAAATGGCAGCACAGCTTGGGTCCAGGGAGGATGGACATTTCTTCAAACACCCTGTGTTCTTCAGAGCAGTCCAATTATTTGCCTGCGGTTACGCGTAACAGTGCACGTGGGGGGAAGAGCATGATTTTGGTGGGCACGAAGACGTGAATTTCAGAGCCCAGGATTTCCTAGTCGAATGAACTTGGACAAATCACATAAAGCATGTGAGCATTAAAACCCCTCTCTCTCAGGGGAAAGAAGGATTGGGAGTTTGGGGTTAGCAGATGTAAACTATTATATACAGAATGAATAAACAACAAGGTCCTGCTGTAGAGAACAGGGAACTATATTCAATATCCTGTGATAAACCGTAATGGAAAAGAATAGGAAAAAGAATGTATATATGTGTAGAACTGAATCTCTTTGCTGTACAGCAGAAATTAACATTGTAAATCAACTACATATACTTCAATAAAATTGTTTTCTAAAACCCTTTCTTCTACAATGGGAGAAATAATATACCCCACCTTCCACAGCTGTAGTGAGATGAAGAGTGCAAAAGTGTGTTCTAAGCCGCTGAAGCATTTTATGTATATAACTGATATGTATAACTGATGACCGCAGCGCTTGCCATGCCTAAAACCAAAGAGCTACATACAAGCTGTGAAACTCTCCCCTTGGCCGAACATACGCTGCTGTTAAGTGAAAGGAACACATCTTCAAAACTGCAAGTCTTTTTAATACCAAAAGTCAGTGAAATATTCCCAAATCATGAAAATAGAATGTAAAAACACTTACTTATCTTTTGATAAATGCTACTGTGTAACTTACACATTCTAATTTCTAACTGTATAAAAATATAAAGTATATGAAATGAAAAACCTAAAACAATCCTCCACTATCCTGAGACAACCACCGCTGGTATTATATTCAGGTTGCTTAGGCTTGAAAATAATTGCGTATATAACACACACCAGATCATAATGCTTTAAAGCCTCCTTTAGTGACTTAACTGTTTGACGGACATCTTTTCATGTCAATAAATATACCTTTCTATACCTTGACTACATAAAATTGCATTGGTTAGGCACACTGAAGTTTTAGTAGATATTAAATTCCTTTTATTTTTTCACAAGTCCAAACAAAATGTTGTGATGAATATCTTTGTAGCATTATTTATACGTCTATGTAAAAATTCTAGATTTAGAGTTAAATTAAATTCTAATTTATACTAGAATAAATTCCTAGGAAAGAAATTACTGATTTGTAGGATACGGAGAGTCTAATTTTTCTCATTTTGTCACTACCATTTTATTATGGAACAGCATTGGTCTTCAGATTGGAATTCTGAAGCCTCTGATTTAGGGCCTTCTACTAAAATATAAATAAATTTTAATTAAATATATAATAAAGGACAAATTAACTCATGCTCTCACTATGCCCTATTCTTTTTCTTCCAACTGAGATAAATCAAATGACATAAGTTTTTGTAATGAACTCAGTTTCTCAGAAACAGTCACCAATTCATAACCGTTAAACAGAATACAAAGTTCTTTTGCACAAAATAGAGAAATGGCCATTTCCCTAGAAATCCCCTAACCATGAGTCAATGCATTCCCTCTTTTCTTTCTCTTGCTTTAATAAAATAAGCGCCCGTATCTTTTAAGCTTTACTTCCTGGAATAATCAGCCCAACATGCTCCCAGGAGGGAGGCTGAGATATAAATTAAACAGCAGTACATGAAAGGAAATAATCGTCTTCTCAAAAATCTCACACTGAATTCCAATAAATTATTCAAAATGATTAGAATTCCTTATTTACATTTGTCTTAGAAATCTTTGGGAACTCTGGGTCGCCCTTTGGGTCCTTTTCCCCCTGGGGGACGAGTCTTGCCACAAATAACTGAACACTATTACGCTCCAAGCCCTTTCTGAGCACTTTTAATATATGAATGAACGAAACAGATGAAGATTCCTGCCTTCAAAGAGCTTTACATTTCAGGAGATGGAAACAAACAACAAGCATGTATCATTATATTCTTGTATTATCATATTTATATATTATGTTTACATAATATATATGCACATTTTATAATTTATTATGAGGTGATAAATGCTACAAAAAAAAGGAGATCAGGATAAACGGGGGAGGGGAGGGCAGCGGAGGAGGGGCAGTATGCAAGGTTAAGCAGTGACCACAAGGGCTTCCTGAAGCTACCTCTCAGCAAAGGGTCCAGAGGCAACACTTTTACCTCGGGGACCTCGTCTCTCTGGACCCAACGCACGTCGTTCTGCAGCCCATTCTTCAGACTCTTCCCTTTTCGGGGTAAAAGCTAATTGGAGATACTGCAATCACTTACCGACGACTGGTCTGCTCCATTACACTGAACAGGAGAATTTACAGAGCCAAAGCAGCCATACCCCAAAATTAATTTCTGGCAACATGGCCACTGGAGCCAGTAGACATTCTGAGTGAGTGTCTCTCAATTCTCAACACTGCTTTTCTTCTAACTCTGAGGTAAACTTAGGTTCGTTCAGACTCTTTGTGTCAAATGTTTCGGCCTCCAGAGAGCACAGTCGTGATAACAATAATCTCTCAGTTGTACCTGTTCTTTGAGGGAAGAAAATGTTTTTTCACCAGCTACCTGAAATCACAGAGGGTGACCAACAAATGAAAGAAAGGCTGGGAAGTAAGCTACTATTCGGATTACATAAACACCGTACATGATTCAGGTAACATCCCCTTACACTTCTCTATCCCTCATTTTGTCATCCCATAACTTTCAAGGTTTTTTTCCTCCTTAAAAGCAAAGTAAAGGATGACTCAAATGTACACATACAACATTTCTAACAATATCTGATTTATTTCCTTGATATGTAGAATTCCTTTCGTGCTTAAATTACCCAAATTCAGCCATGCACACGACCAAATTTTCTGGACTCATTCATTATTCAGAGTATATTTTTGGGGCAGCAATTTTGTTTAGAATGTTGCGTTACACAAGACAATTATATAATTCCCCGTTATTTAAATTACATGCGGTTTGCATGTGAGAAAAACACAGGCTTCTCTGAGAAACATGATTGAAAATTTTCCCCAAAATGAAACACTTTGGACATGTTTTTTTTTTTTTCCCCAATAATTTTTAGCTGACAAAAAAGACCATATCAAGCCATAGGCAAACTGGATTAAAATGTATTCAACGCTGTTCATCTATCAAATGGCAACCGATGAAAC